GAGTTCAAAATCAACAGACAAGATTATTACTTCTGTTCTTAAAATCCCATCTTACCCAAACCAGGAGCACATAAACAGATTACCAGACTCCATTTAAAGTTGTCAACTTTATATGGTGTAAGCAAGTAACAAGTGAAACCAAAGCTCGGGAAGAAACTATTACCAAAAAGAACATTCCAGCTCGTTGTCTTCAAGATCCAATTTCCAACCATCATAAAATGCATCAGCAGCTTTCTTAAAATCCTAGGAAAGCATATGATGAAACTTAGATAACAGGTCAGCATATTTAATTTAATAAAAGTGAAACCTCCCTCAGATTAGCTTACTTTCAATAACATCCATGCCACCCCTGCCCTGTAGTAAGCCTTTGGCCAGTTGGGTCTTAGCCTAATGCAACTTAAAGCATCTTCTAATGCTTCATCACCTGTTCCCAATTGAGCCCAACAAAAACTTCGATTGGATAGGGCATCAGCATCATCAGGATAAGCATCAATCACCTGCAATTTCATCCAAAGCAAATTTTCAAGCAGAAACATGGCGTCTGAAGAGAGAAATATGAACTCAAATGATATCAACGTCTAAGAAGAAAAATATATTAACTCAATTTAGGAAGAAATATTAACAAGAAATCAGATTCTGGCCTCCATACCTTTGTGTATGGATAAATTGCACCACGATAATCCTTTGCATTCATAAGTTCTTCTCCCTTGGATTTTGAAAACAATAAATCTTCGTTCATCTGCTTTCTTCTCTGCAAAGACATTACAAACACAGGAAGTAGTAAGGTCTGAACCTAGTAATTGAACTGCAAAGGAACACAAGGGGAATATAAAGTTTAAGTGGAAATGGTTGCTTAAGAACATTAGAAATCAATCACACAGTTTTTTTACAACAATCATTTATTGCAAATAAAAGTGTAATGTCTTTTAACACATGGTATTACTTAAGTCAATGCAAAAATAAGATTGCACCATTTCATAACTGGAGAAAACATGAGTATTACAAATAAATGAAAACTTCACATTTTCAGTGAAAGTTCGTCATGTTTATAATGTCAGGCTAAATCCCTTCTCCAGCTGTGAATCCCAGCTGAACAAGTTCTCTGATTTGTTTGATTATTATCACAAGTTTAAAGAAACTATCACCCTAAACCCTCATTGTCCACAATACAAGCAAAGAAAAGTTAATTCTTGTAATACCTCTTCTTGAGACTCTTCAGAGTGAAGATGCCTCAATATGCCTGCATAGCTCCAGTGAGATACAGTTGGAATGGGAGTAGTAACTGGAAGGAGAATCATAACAGCCTCATGATTATGATTTAATGCTGCTTCTTCAACTGGTAAAATCCCAGATAACTGTTAACATAAAAGTAACTTTTAAATTATAAAAACCAAGACATAATGAAAACCAATTAAGCCACGCTACTTTTGTTGTGAACTCACAGTATCATTGTCATTTGGATCAGCTCCAGCAGTCAACAAACACTTAATAATTTCAGGCAATCCTTTTACAGCTGCACACCCCAAAGGTGATACTTTCATTGGACCTTTTAAATTTGGATCAGCTCCTGCCTATAAATACGGAAAAATAAGAGTAGACACCATCATAACATAAAGAAAAAATTTATAACTGAGGATTAGATGACCAATTGATCAATGGCTGACATCAGAACAATCTATTCAGATGCCATTTACAGCCAAAAAAATAAAAAGTTACAAAGATAAACAATAAAGAAAAAAAAAAAGAAGAAGAAGAAATAGAATATGTTATACCTTAAGCAACAGTTTCACACACTCAATCGATTCAACTACAATTGATGTCGTCAATGGGGAAAATCCAAGACAAGAAATGAAATTTGGCTATGCAAGAAAGAGAGGAAGCATATGGTAAAACACAATCAGTTAAAATTTGGGAGAAAATAGTAAAGACTCTCTACAGGTAATAGTGAATAAGATAAAAGAAAAAAGGAAGAAAAATAATTTCTAAACTATATAAACCCAGCCCAAGCAACAACTAAAGCACTCCTGGGTAGCACAAAAGAAAAGATAATTCTTTCTTACATCAGCATGGTTATCCAACAAAACCTCAAGACAATCCTTATTGGCATGAGACGCTGCAATCATCAATGGTGTTTCAAAATCACCTACTGCATTTGGATTGGCACCTTTTGATATCAACAACTTTGTAAGTTTCTTAGATCCTGCAACTATACAACCAAGTAGCAAAACTTTGAGCCAATATTGGAAAACCAAAGAGAAATAAAAGAACAAATACAACTGTACAAGCAAAGACATAATCACTATTCACTTCTCCTAACCAGAGCTATAATAAAAAAATCAGAGCCCAAAGATAAAATTACACCTCATGAAATTATTGAAACATTAGTGGCTTTTGTGGAATGGGGGAAAGGCCAACTCTATAAATGCTGAAATCATTGATATGTTTCTAGGAATGAAAGGAAATTATCCCTGATTCCACAAGTAGTTAAAAGAGAAATAATTCAAATACGAAACATGTAAAGAAAAATCAGCCCAGCAACAAGCACGACACCACATGAGAAATTGTTAAGCAAATCCATTCACATCCCCTTCTCACAAACAATTAGAAAATACAAAGCAATCGTAATAATGGGTTTTGAACTGCCAAAAAACAAAAAAAAAAAAACAAAAACAAAAAAAACAAAAAAAAACAAAAAAACAAAAGTCATCATCTCAGATTCGCAGAAAAGTCTCAAATACCATTTGCTGCAGCAATATGCAAAGGAGTAAACCCATCACTAAGGGCGGCATTTGGATTCGCACCATTCTGAAGAAGATATGCAGCCGATCGATAACAATTAAACTTAATTGCATAATGTAAAGGAGTTTGACCTGTTAAAAAAAAAAAAAATCAATAACTGATTTAAACAAAACAATTTCTTATTTATTTATAGACAAATGGTCAAGATCGAAGAAACAGAACAACAAAATCATTAAGTCACTCAACATGGAAAGGTTTTCTTTACATATACCTAAGTTCAAACTCGTGCACTCGATGTCAAGTTTTACATCCTCCAAAAGATACTTACAGACGTCAATTCCACCACCTGCTGCAGCGGCATGGAAGCAGTTGCGACCATGTTCGTCCCTTATACTCGAAATAGTTTCTGCTAAACCATCTTTCACGTCAAGCTGCTTCAAAAGCCCTAGTTCAGCAATGCAAAACACAGAAATCAAATCCCGCACAAGAAAATAGATCGATTAAGTAAACGAACGTGAAGAATATGTCGGTATTACTCTTGAAACGAGGCAGATTTCCCTTGAAGGCTGCATTCAACAGGTTGCGCTCTACGCTATCGCCTGCATATCAGTATAAAAAAGAGAAATCAAAGTAGAATGCAAAGGGAAGAGCGACGAAACTTGAAAATCGAAATGGAGGGAAAAGAGTGAAGGTAAGAAAGAAAAGAAAGTGAGAAAGACCTGGAGGAAAAGAAATCGCCATTCCAAGAGAAGGTTGTTCTTCGAGGTTCAGAGAGGAAAGAAGATTGAGAAGAGACGCCATGCGGAGGAGCTTTTGGGGGGAATACTTTCCGTCAAATGGAATTTCAGAGTAAATAAAACCCTACACCCTCTTTGGCTCTTTTCAAAGTAGAGAGTCCTTCGTTCTAATATATTCTATCCCTCCCACCATAAAGGTCGTAATTTTCTTCTTATCTCATTTTTATATTATTATTAGTTTATTAAAAAAATATTTTTAAGTTGATATGAAAAAGATATATAAAAAATTTTTAAATTATTTAAATAGTTTTAATAAATTATCTTTTTATTTATTAAAAATATTTAATTTATTTCATAACCATCCCTTTAGTTTACGACCTTATACATCAGTTGGTTCCATGACTTCCATTCACCTAGATAACGAATTTTAACCAACTTATTTTTATTCCTTTACATCTAATTTTATATTTGATGGAGTTTTAATTGTTTAAATTGTGTTGTATGCTCCTTATAAAAAATAAAAAAATAAAAAAAAATTTCGGATTGCATCCTATCACTTTTTTCAAATAAAAAGTTTTGAATAGAGCAAAATAAGGAACATAAAAGTGTTGTTATATTCAAGGAAAAGAAGAAAAACAAAAACAAAAATTTGTGTCATGTTTTCAGTATGTTTTTTAAGTCTTAAGAAATTGTGATTCATTTATGACTTGTTTCTTTCTTTCCAATTTCGTGTTTCTCATATATTTTAGAAACAGAAGTCACAGGAAGGGGAATCATGGTAGCCGAAGCATTATTGTGCCAATTCGTCACCTATGGCAAACTGATCTATAATCAGTTTAGACAATAAATTAGCACAAACCGGCTTAAATGAAATATTCTTTTCTTGATTTATTGCTAAATGTAAACGGAGTGGGGTAGAAATAAGTATTAATCCAACCAAACACATACATGGCCTGGCACCTATCACTTTCCCATGATAGAAAGTCTTCCAATCTCCAAATATGATATATACTTAGGTACTACATCACGAGTCAAGACCAAACAAGAGACAAAAAGAAAGTGGCACCTAGTAATATACCATTTCAGGCATGAAGCATTGCAGACTTACCTAACCAAGAAATACTTCTACTAATAAGGGTTTCACATTAATATATACCATTCCGGTATTGCAGACTTCTCATTGGAAATAGTACTATTAATAAGTGTTTCGCATTGCATCCGGAATTCCAGCCCAAATGCAGGTGCATCTTATCGCCTGCCCACAAGACAGGTGTTCAAATCCCCCCACCTTGAGATGGATGATATTCGAGTTCTTAGTTACGCAGCACTTTAATTGCATCCCTGCCATAAGAAAATAGAGAAGTATATGATGAGGATACATATCTGGAAAGAAGAGAATAGAAAGCAAAGGAAAATGAAGATGGGACGTAATCATTTAGACAAGTTGCAAAAAGCTTAAACATATTGATGAATTGATCCTACTTCTAAGGACTAGTTGTCATGGCAATAGACATACTTCATGAACGTAGTTAGTTAATAAATTTTGCATTTGATTATATATAATACATTGACCTGTAGCTACTAGCTACCAGCAACTAATTACATGGCAGAATATTGTGAAGAGAAAATGGATTGCAGCTATACCAAAAGAAACTACTAAACACTAAATCAGAATTCAGAACATAGAAACAAGTTTAGATTATCCCTGTAGTCTAAAATGAAGCAACTCTTCATGAAAATTATACCAAATTGGCATCACGTTCAATGTCTGATCACACAAAGGCATGTGATGTTAGAAGCTTAAATTCAAAATCAGTAGATTAGATTATTGCTTCTGTTTTTAAAACCCCATCTTGTTCAAACCAAGGAACAAATGTACAGAGTTCTGACCACCAGACTCCCTGTCAAGTTATCAACTTTCTATGGTGTAAGCAAGTTACAGATAAAATCAAAGCTTGGAAAGGAACTCTTACCAAAAAGCACGTTCAAGCTCCTCATCTTCAAGATTCAACTTCCAACCATCATAAAATGCGTCAGCAGCTTTCTCAAAATCCTAGCATTGTGTATAATGGAACTTAGATAAAAGGACAGCAAGGCACAAATTTAATCAAATAAAAGTTAACCTGCTTCAAACTAGCTTACTTCCAATAACATCCATGCCACACCCGCCCTGTAGTAAGCCTCTGGCCAGTAAGGTCTTAGCCTAATGCAACTTAAAGCATCTTCTAGTGCACCATCACCTGTTTCCAATTGAGCCCAGCAAAAGCTTCGACTGGATGGTGCATCTGCATCAGTCGGAAAAGCATCTATCACCTGCAATGTCATCCAAAACCAATTCCTCAGTCATGGTGGTAAACTTAGGGATATTAACATACATGGCATCAGAAAGTGAGGACTCAAGTTATGTCAATGTCTAAAAAATAAACAGGAAAATATACACTCAATTTAAGAGAAAAACATAATCAAGAAATCAGAGACCTTTGAGTATGGATAAATTGCGCCAAGATAATCCCCTGCATTGATAAGCTCTTCTCCCTTGGATTTTAAAAACAATATATCTTCCTTCAACCGCCTCTTTTTCTGCAAAAACATTGCAAGCACAGGAAATTCCAAGGTCTCAACCTAGCAGTTGAAATGCAAAAACTTTAACCAAACATGGTTGCTAAAGAACAATAAAAATAAATCACATGAACTTTTTGCAAATAGAGGTGTAAACTGTGTTAACACATGATATTATTTCAGTTAATGCAAAGATAAGATTGCACTATTTCATAACTGGAGACAACATGATTATTACAAATAAAATTAAAATACCACATTTTCAGTAAAAGTTCCTTATGCTTATAAATTATAATCATATAATGTGAGGGCAAATCCCTTCACTAGCTGTGAATCCCAGCTGAACTAGTTCTCCACATCCAAGGTTTGTTCATATTATTACCACAAGTTTAAACAAACTGTTGCAAGTTGAACCCTAGACCCTCATTATCCATGAGACAAGCAAACAAAAAAAAAAAGAAAAAAGAAAAAAAAAAAACACTAAGGAAAGAAAAAATTAACCCTTTGTATACCTCTTCTTGACCCTTTTCAGAGTGAACATGGCTCATTATTCCAGCATAGCTCCAGTCAGATATAGTTGGAATGGGAGAAGTCACAGGAAGGAGAATCATAACAGCCTCATCTTTATGATAAAAGGCTGCTTCTCAACAGGTTTCATCCCTGACAACTGTTAAAATAAAGTAACTTTTAAATTAATGAAAGCCAAGACATAGTGAAAACCAATTGAATGATTTGAATCAGGCTACAAGATGTTGTCAACTGACATTATCACTGGCATTAGGATCAGCTCCAGCATTTAACAAACATTTAATAATTTCAGTCAATCCTTTTGCAGCTGCAGATCCCAAAGGTGCCATTCCCATCGGAGCACTTAAGTTTGGGTCAGCTCCAGCCTATAAATGATGAGGAAATATAAGAGTAGACACCATGATAACAAAGAAAGAAAATTATAAAGTGTGGAATTGTTGAGCAATTGATCAATGGTCACCATGAAAACAATCTATTCTTTTCTTCAGGTTTTTTTTTTTTTTTTTTTTTTTAACAAAACAATCTATTCTTAGAGAGAGAAAGAGCGGGGGATTCTAAGTTAAATGTTCTTGTCAGCCACAAGTTTTTTACTGTGACACTAATTACAAGGTACAGATATTGGCATCAACATGTTCGTAATTGTTTAAAGCAATTGAAATAGAAAATTTACAGAAACCAAATCCTCCAAAATTAATAAATTTAACAAAGATAAACAAAAAATAGAGAAAAGAGAACATTATACCTTAAGCAACAGCTTTACACATTCAATTGACCCAGCTTCAACAGACATCGTCAATGGGGAAAATATATGACAAGCAATGACATTTGGCTGTGCAACAATGAGAGGAAGCATTTAGTAAAACACAATCAACTAGAATTTTGGGATACCATGTATCATTTCTGAAAACTTGCACAAAATAGAAGATAACAGAAAGACACTCTATGGATAATAGTGAACAGATTAAAAAAAAAAAATTACATTTGTAAACTATATAATCCCAACCCAAGGGTGGTACAAAATAAAGAAAATTCTTCTTACATCTAACATACTATTGAAGTCTTTATGGTTGGTGGAGAGAAGAGAAAAAAATAAATATTATCCATTCTAATTATCTATCCTCCATTTCCTCAAACCAAAAATACCAGCCTTTAAGAATTACTTTAAACACTTGATCCTCAAAAGGCTGTTATTACTGGTCTCGGTGTTTGGACTTCGAACTCGGCATACCCCTCTTCCCCCCACAAGGATAGAGACCAAAAAAATCTACAGCGAGAAGATACCCAAAGCATGTTTCAACAAGAACCGTGAGACACGAGGAAATCTACTAATCTACATGACTACATTACAATATATATTAGGTAAAACACTAGATGTAGAAAACCCAGAAGAAAACACCCTTCATAGTTAGATACCATCTTAATGGGCACATAATTCCCTTACAGCCGACATCCAAATTTCAACCAAAAGACTACTGCATTGTAAAGGTTTTCACATCTATACAACCTACCCTTGAAAGATTGGATTAAATACATAAAGTGTGGCGCTGAGCTGCCAACCAAAGAAGAACATGAACCATGCAGGTAGATGTTCACAGTTTGGGAAGCCACACAGTTTGTTCTTTTTAGCTTCAATAGCTTCCCTGTCATAAAAACAGAAGAGTTAAGAAAAATCACATGAGAAGGAAAGCAAACAGCAAGCAAAAAATGAAGGTAGGAGAGGACATTTATTCAGTGTCTCTGATAGAAATTGCAGAAAGGCTTAGAATGTATTTATCTCTGTGAGAGCAACGTAAGTTAACTAAATTTTTTTGCATTCCCTGTTTAGCTCATCGGTGTTCACTGTAACCCAAAATAGTTGTCCGGGGATTACACCGATCAGTGACCGAACCTTGCGAAAGAATAAAATATTAGCTTCTAATTCTTAATCATTATCCTATCGAAAAAAAAAAAGTTACTAAATTTTTTTAAGTCTTGTTTATAAATAATACACAACAATTTTACCACATGCATGTTGCAAGGCTAAAAATTGATCATAAAAATAATGGATAAAAACAAATTAAATAAAAGCTTGCAAGCAAATTACTGCCTAAAGGCACGTCTAAGCTCCCCATTCTCATGATCCAACTTCAAACCATGATGAAAGGAATCGGCTGCTTTGTCAAAATCCTGGGATTATGTATCATGAAACTAAGATCACATACAAGAAAATTTCAACATAAATCAAAGTGAACCTTTCAAATATTACTTTCAATAACATCTGTGCAGCACCCGCCCCTATAATAAGCCTTTGGCCAATCAGGTCTCAGTGCAATGCAGGCTTCATCATCTTTTAATGCAAGTTCTCCTTCATTCAACCGGGTGAAACACAAGCGTTGTTTGGACAATACTATTGCATCAGTAGGGTCACAATAGATTGCCTGTACTATCATCGAAAGTGCAGACCAATAAGATGAAACTGATATTTTTAGAGATTCTAACCAATGCGGAAAATGTAAAGTTGAGCTACAAGTGTCAGGTAATGTAACTGTAAAGCCACAAAATATATGAAGTGCAAAGAATTTGTAAAAAGCCTTATTAGTAATCATATACATGGTTAATATAAATTTGTATGGTGTCATTTGCAGAAGCATTAAAACTTGGCATAAAACAGTGGCCTTATCATCTCTCTGTACAATTTTGTTGCCCATAATAATCCTTATTGTTGAAAGCCTCTGCTCCCTTTGATTTTGACAGAAAAAATTCTCCTTCAAGTTACGCTTCCTCTGCAAGATACTTTTCAAGTGCAGTAAATAATAGTCTCACAGACGCTGCTGCAAGATACTTTTCAAGTGCAGCTAATAACAGTCTCACAGATGCTAAGAAATAGAACACAAACACCCATCTATCTCCATGAATATTCATGATCAATCACTTTGCAATATTCAACAGGAACCATTGAATTAATTATAATATAGTTATGTTAGTTCAAAAAATAAAATCCTGATGCAGCTGGTTTTAGAGGTCCGATGGCATTAATCATTGGATAGGTGCATTCCCTTCCTTCTCATATCCTGAATGGGTTTCCAAATTGTTTCATGTCAAAATGTTTATAATATATATATATATATATATATATATATATATATATCCTGATCTGATCATATGCAACATAAACCTTTCCGTTGCCACCTCCTGAATAAACATATTTCAAACCCCAACCCTTTGGACCATAAAATAAAAGAAAAGAGAAATATCACCATACATCCTCTCTAGCCTCATCAGATAGAATGTGCTTCATTAATCCAGAAAGGCTCCATTCTGGAACGGCCGGAACGCAAGAAGCTACTGGAAAGAGAGCCATAGCATTCTGATGAATATCACTCAATGTGGCAACTTCAAGCGGTGTTACCCCTGACTATGCTGCAAATGCATCAAATTTCCAAAAACCAAAATAGCTAAACAACACTATCTATTTTTAATAAAAATTAGATTCCTCGATTTGCGCAACTCACGCCATTAATGACATTTGGATCAGCTCCAGCATTTAACAGGCATTTAATAATTTCTGTCTCTCATTCAGAAGCAACAATCGGTAAAGGAGTCATTCCTGCACCACAAACGTTTGGATCAGTTCCAGCCTACGCATAAGGTTATATATATATGAGTAATGATTTACAGGACGATATTACGGGACAATTTTAAAAGTAAAAAGTAAAACAGAATTAAATTAATAATTACTGTTGAGATTGCTTTATTTGTCATCTTCAAAATCAACCTGTAACATCGTCTTGCGGATTATTACTCTATATATATTGATAAATATAACGGTTAAATTAATAAAATTAATATTATTTATGAGAAGTATTAAATTTAAATCATTAATACAATTCATCAATTACCTTTTTTTAGTAATAATGATTACCATCGAACCAGAAAAGGGTCACGTAAGGTAATATAAATAATAAAAAGGGTGAGACAAGTAAAGAAAACGTGGTACGGCGAGTGGGTTTTGCAGTAATGATGATGATTTTATTGATTTGACAAGCATATCAGTTTTGTCTTTTCAATTTTGCCGCCGGTCAAGAAAACTGACCAACGAATATTAATTGCAGTTATCCATAGGACCATAGGACTTCGGGAGAGTTATCAACTCCAAGGCTACCCTAATAATAACCATGTCTAATTATCCAAGACTCCGCAAGACTTCCGTTTGGTAAAATGAAACTAATGACTTTTAGTTTTTAGTTTTTCGTTTTTAAGATAAGATTAAGTTCTTAATATTTAAAAAATGTAACATATATTATATTAACAATGTTAATCTGTAATTCAAAAACTTACGATTCAGTGATTTTAATAATTCATATTCATATCTTAATATTATAATTTTTTTATTATAAAAAATTGATTTACTTTTATTGAATTAAAAATTGAAAAAATTCTCATTGAAAATAATTTTAATCTAAAAAATCACTAGACTAAACATAAACTAAGAAATACTTGTAAAAAACGAATAGCTTTAAAAAGTAAATTGATTTGTATACGGAGGGTAAGCATGTTGGAATCAAAAAATGTGTTAAAATTTTGTATTTAAAGGCTTTCATGACAACACCCACACAGCAAAAATCAAGTTTGGATCATCTCCCCTACCCACGGTGAAAAACAATCTCAACAGTCTTAAAATCTTCTCTATCATGCAATCTATGGGTTAGCCAGAAACTATAATTCGCAACCAAAAACTGCGAAGATCTTACTAGTTGAAACCTGCCAAAAATCGGCTTAATTTAATAAATCATCTATTAACTATTATCTTTTTTTCATTTTAGTCTAGAAACTTTACTTTCTTTCATAGTCATCTATTAACTTTCAAAACTATTTCATTTTCGTCTACCTACGGTAACTCCGTTAACAAAGTTAACGAAATTCTACAT